TCGGCAGCATAGTAGGTCCAAAAACCGTTTCATCTGTGTACTCAGACTTGATTAGTCTTGGTGGTGCTGACTCTGAGGTAGTGGAGCCCAGAACTCCAGGCTTTGGGAGCCAGAAAAGATCTCTTAAATCTTGGCTCTGGCATCCACTAGTTTTCTCATCTGAAAAATAGAATGATAACAAATAGAGTTACTGTAACAGTTAAAAGGTATAATGTATATAAATTATGTACTGCTGATACCACAGTAAGCACAAATAGTAGCTATTAGTTGATGACTATTGTTATGATAAAACCTAGCAGATACTGATTTACAAACCAAATGTAAAATCTATTAATTAACAATATTAGTGAAACTGCCAAATAGGCTAAAATTGTTGTGTCCACTGTGCCTTCTTTTCTAAATAGGAAATTTGGCCTCAGAAAGATTGCTGAGAGACTCAAGAGAAATCCATCACCAAGCTCAGATTGCCCAGTGTGTTAATCTTCCCTAAAAGAATTAAACTGTCTTGTCTAGCAGAACTTACTTGGGTTCCTTTTAACAAATTCTTTTCTGCCCTTCAGAAACTCCAGATTGATTATACCTGGCTTCTTTCAGTTCATTCCTTAAATCTGGACATCATTAATTTTAATTTCTATAATAGGTTATGTCAGACTTTTAGGGTATTTTCTTTCTTTTCTTCTTTTTTTTTTTTTTAAGATTTTATTTATTTGACAGACACAGCGAGAGAGGGAACACAAGCAGAGGGAGTGGGAGAGGGAGAAGCAGGCCTCCTGCAGAGCAGGGAGCGGGGCTCGATCCCAGGACCCTGGGATCATGACCTGAGCGGAAGGCAGACGCTTAATGACTGAGCCACCCAGGCGCCCCCTTTTTTTTCTTTTAAAGATTTTACTATTTATTTATTTGAAAGAGAAACAGACTCTGCTTTGGCATTGTAAAACATCATTTTGAATATTCTCAATAGTGGAAAGTTTTCATCCTTTGAAAATGAATTTGATTTTTTAATAATAGTGGAAAATCAGATGCAAACTGGCTAACTTAGCCAGTTTGGTAAGAGGAGTAATACCATCTCTGTCCAAATGTCATGCCAATATAAAGCTTTCTTGAATACTTTTCTTACCAGGAATTCTCACAGTAGAGAATTCTAAAATATTTTGAGGAGTGACAATAAGAGTAAACAGTTGGAGTAACTTCCTAAGTTAATCATTCTGATGAGGATAGTTATTTGTATACATGCTTTTTAAAACATTTTAAAGTCATTGTATGTGTCCTATCTTGTCCATGCAAGTTTCTTTCTTGTCCTTCAAGCTGGACTCTCCATCTTCTAACTCAGTGGTTCTCATACTTTTTGGCTTTAGGAGTGCATTACACATTTAAAAATTATTGAGGATTTTAAAGAGCTTTTGTGCATTTTTTTGTGGAGGTTTTTTTTTTTTTTGGTGGTATAGTAGTTAAAACATAATATTAGTTTCAGGTGTACATCATGATTTGATAATTTATGTTGTTAAATGATCACCAAATAAGTGCAGTTAGTATCTGTCACCAAAAGAGCTTTTGTTTATGTGGGTTATATCTATTTATTGAATAGCAGAAGCGAGAAGGTTATTAAAGCGAAAAATACACTCACAGGATCTCCAGAGCGGGCGAGCTCAAGAGAGAAAGCTGCATGACAAATTTAGAATTTTAAATATTTACATTCATATACAAGTGACAATTATAACCCCTTTGATTATTACCATAAATATTTTAATGAAAAATAGTTATATTTCCCTAAAAAAAAAATGTGAGGAGTGACACTGTTTTACATATTTGCAGATCTCTTTAAGGTCTGGTTGAAAAGAACTTGACTGGGTTCTCATCTCTTCTGCATTCAGTCTATTACTGTATGTTCTGGTTAAAGTACATGAAGACTCCCTGGCCTTTCACAGATACATATAGTTGGAAAAAGGAGGAGTATTTGAAGGTGTTTTTAGATAATTGTGGGTTTCTTTGATTCTGTACCAAAACTTGACAAGATAGTAGTTTCCTAAAAGTTAATTGCAACGTAGAATATAAAATTATATCAGTGATTTTTTTTCGTATGTTAAAATCATTGATTGGTCTAACACTTGGAGTGAATATTTTAACCAGGACTGATTTAACATCATGCATTGGTCATTTGGAGATATTGGTTCACTGAATTACACAAATCTTTCAAGTATTGGCATGTTTTGTTAAATAATTATTTTTAAAAATCACATTCATTAAAACACTGGTGACTTCACCAAAAAGGACCTTAAATTTTGGAAAGCTGTCAAGGTCACAGTGGCGGATGAGTTTTCCAAAATTCAGATGTTATTATTGGCAACAAATACTGTCAGTTTTCTTGAAGTGACAAGCTTACTTTCTTTGTTTTCAACAAAATGTCTGCCACATCCAAAGTCTGTATAATCAAAGTTTGTCTTTTAGTCGTTCTTTCAAATAAAAGGGTAGCTAATTGAAAAAAGCATCCAACTCAAATATTCAACACAAGTGCTTTTCCTAGAGAAAACAAAACAAAGCAAAACAAAATGATTGCATTTCATTTTGGAGAAGTCCTTCATCTGTGTGTGAAGTTGGGGACGTCCCCCGGAGCTGACTTTACCTCAGACACAAACTGCAGAGTTAGAGACCTAAGACTACACTCAACTCTGACATTGATTGCAAGTTGGGGGTTCCCCAGGACCACCTTCAGGTATAGCAATTCAGTAGAAGGACTCACAGAACTCATTGAAAGCAGTTATATTCATGGTTATGGTTTACTGCAGGGAAAGGATGCAGATTTAAAAGCAGCCAGAGGAGGAGATGTAATGGATCAAAGTCCAGGAGAATTCCAAATGCAGACCTTCCAGTTGTCCTCTCCTGGTGGAGTTGTGGATGGTGCTCAGTTCTCCCAGCAACAGTTTGTGATGGTCTGCCAACCACAGAAGCTCCCCTGAACTTTGGTGTCCAGCGTCTTCTTGGGGCTCTCTCATGTAGACACAGTCAGCTGCCCAAGCAGCTGACCTCACTCTCTGGCCCCCCCTGAGACCAGAGGTCAAATTGATCCAAAGCCCCAACCCTGAGTCACACTGTTAGACTGTCTGGTGTGGCGGAAGGTTCCCTGGTAAACAAAGACACTTTGATCAGGCAGGATATTCCAGGAGACTTGCAGATGACCTCCCAGGGGCCAAGGGCAAAGGCCAGACCTCTCTGATCAAGGTTAAATTCTTTACTGCTAGTATGAGTCCTGTGTCATCACAATGATTTTAAAAAGTACTCAGGGGTCATGATTTAAGAGAACTAATACTTTTAACCTTCTCATCAAAGGCATTCTTATGAAAAACTGGTTTTGCGTGTTTTCTGTGAGTGGTGAGGAATGCCGTGTGTGCTGGGACAGTTTGGTGCCATTTCTGCGGTTGGGCCAGCATTTTCACCTGCCTCCACTGGTCCGCTGTCAGTTCAGGTGTCAACTCAGCGAGAAAGATGGTGTCTGAATACTTAGGAGGAGAGTTTTAACCTCGGATACGCCTGCCCAGTCTGCGCTAACTCAGCACGCTGTGTCTCTTGTGTAGTGAGCAGTGCTTTACTTTCTTTTGTAATAAAATATCATCTCCCAGAGGACGGTTACAGCAAGTTCTTTGAGGGTAGGTTATCTTTTTCATCTTTGTAGTCTGCATTTTACCTGCCATGGTGCATTGTATGTAACAGAAACTCAGTAAACATTTGCTAAATTAATGCATAGAACCTTTTCATCACTTCAGGAAATCTTTTCAAAACTTTCGCTTCAGTTAAAAAAAAAAAAAGAGTGACTGCTTTTGTTCCCATTTGTGATACGCTCTTTTTCTCTTTTGTTGTATGGAGGGGTGGTCAGATCTGTGCTGGTTTCTCAGAAACTTGAGAATCAGCTTTGATATCTTTGATTACATGTCCCTCATTGACATTTAAGTCAGTCATGCAGTTCTGCTTGCTGTCATCCTAACTACTTTTGTCTTGGTGCGGGCATTCCTCCTCCGGATTAGTGTGACAGACTCCAGCCTACTCTCCATATCTGGTTTTACTTTCAGATACATACCCTCCTAGCCACCAAGATAATCTATTTGAAATGCAGATGATGGTAGCTTGTGCTGTACTTAACAGAGTGCTTACTCCATGTCAAGCACTTTTTTTAATACCCTGAATCCTCAACAACTTTGGGAGGGGAGATTCTGTTTGTTATCACTTGAATGATGAGAGACCTGAGGCCCAGAGAAGGGAGCTAGCAGGTCTGGTTCTGAAGTCCCAACTGTCTACTGAGTAAACTATTCTAGACTGCTTCTCGCTACATAGCTTACAATCCCTTGCTCTTGTCTGCAAACCAGAGAATAAGCTCCTAAACATGGCATGTAGGGCCTTCTGTGATCTGACTTCCACTCTTAGCACTTACTTATCTCCTGCCTGTTTTGTGCTGCAAGCTTTAGCAGGTGAATCTGCTTACAGTTCACCTACATGCAAAGTAACAGCCTCTGCACCCTGGCTGTGGTCATGCCTGAGCTCTGTCCACCCAACAAATCCATGCGGGAGCTCTTCAAGGGCAGTTTTTCTCCAGTTTTCCTTTGTCCCCTCCCACTACTAGATAAGGAATTGACAATATAATAGGCAGACAGATTAAAAGCTGGTGTATGTAAGTGTATTAAGTATGATGAGAAAGAAAATTGGGACACATAAGAAAGGTAAATACTTTGTAATTAGCAGTTTGGTCCTATCTCCCAAACTACACTATCAGCTCTTCTGAGGGCAGGAACTCATTTTATGCCATCAGTATTTGATACATAAACAAAAAAGGAAATATTTTTTGAATAAACGAACATAATTTTTCTCCTAAATTGTATTTCCTGCTTCATAATTTCTTCTAAATCCTCAAGACTAAATTAGTCTTTTTTATAGATTTTTGGAAAATTGTGTAAATGTAGATTTCTAAGATTTTATATTTTTAGGTAATGAGTTTTTCTTTTTTCTTTTGCAAGCTCCTTGCCCGACTTGAAGGTAGAAGTTCCTTGAAAGAAATAGAACCATATCTGTTTGCTGATGAAGATTCATCTGTACATGGTAAAAACAATCTCAAACCAAAATACAGTGTCATACATTAAGGCTTATAAAACATGTTTTTTTCCAACATACTCATTTATATGTACATACTCGTAACAAACGGCTATATGGATTAACCTGTAAAATTAAAAAGTGAGAAATAGATCATGGCAGAACACTTTTAAGTCTTCATTATCTGTGTCAGATGAGATAAAGTTTGGCTCATCTGCAGTAAATCTTCAGAATAAATTCTGACCTCTCTTATCCCGACACAGTATTTTTGAGGGAGTTTTGTTACTATAATTTATTTTTTAATTCTTTAGAAGTTTGAGAATCACAAGAAAGTCCTTAGGTACCCCGTTGTCTGTTAATACTTCTGTAGAAGGGAGAGGACATGCCCACTTGTTCCCTGCAGTGCTTCTACACTAAGGAGAACTTACAGAAAGGTACTGTGTTGGCACTGTTTTTCTATTCTTTAGTGGAAGAGCTCTGTAGAGATATAATTCACCCTTTTAAGTGTGCAATTTCATGATTTGTAGTATTCACATTTATGTACCTATCACCACAATTGATTTTAGAACATTTTCATCACCCCAAAAAGAAAGCCGTGCCTATTAGCGGTCACTCCCCGTTTGCTCCCACATCCCTCAGCCCTAGGCAGCCACTAATCTACTTGATGACTCTATAGCCTTGTCTGTATATTTCATATAATTGAGTTATACAGTATGTGGTCTTCTGTGACTGGCTTCTATTACTTTGCATAATCTTTTCAAGTTTTCTATTGTGGCATGTATCAGTAGTTCTGTTTCTTGTTGAGTAATACTCTCTTTTTTGTTTATCCATTCATCAGTTGATGGACATTGGGGTTTCTGCTTTTTGCTGTTACGGATAACGCTGCTGTGATTATTTGTGTACAAGCTTTTCTGTGGATATATGTTTTCGGTTCTCATGGGTAATACCCACAAGAGGGACTGTTAGGTTTGTGCGGCAACTGTGTTTAACCTTTTGTGGAACTGCTAGACTGTTTCCCTCAGCAGCTACACATTTTACTTGCCACCAGGGGTGAAGTGTAGAATAGTTCCAATTTTCCCACATCCTGCAAACAAATGTCATTGTCTGTGTTTTTATAGCCTTCCTAGTGAGTATGAAATGATAATCTCATTGTGGTTTTGATTTACATTCCCTGATGGCTAATGATATTAGGCATCTTTGTGTGTGCTTATTGGCAGTTTGTATATGTAATTTGGAGAAATGTCATATCTTTTGCCCATTTAAAAAAATGGGTTGTGTTTTTCTTACTGAGTTGTAAGAGTCCTTTATATATTCTAGATACAAGTCCCTTAACAAATATGATTTGCAAATACTTTCTCCCATTCTGTGGGTTGTCTTTTCACTATCTTGATGGTGTCCATTGAAGCACAAAGTTATTAATTTTTTTTTAAAGATTTTATTTATTTGAGAGAGAGAATGAGATAGCGAGAGAGAGCATGAGAGGGGGGAGGGTCAGAGGGAGAAGCAGACTCCCTGCTGAGCAGGGAGCCCGATGCGGGACTCGATCCCGGGACTCCAGGATCATGACCTGAGCCGAAAGCAGCCGCTTAACCAACTGAGCCACCCAGGTGCCCACAAAGTTATTAATTTTGATGAAGTCCAATTTATCTGTTTTATCTTTTATTGCTCATGCTTTTGGTATTATAGCTAGGAGGCCATTGGCTAATCCAAGGTCAAGATTTACGGCTTTCATTCTTTTCTGATCAGAGAGCAGTCTTCTGTGATTCAGCCTTTTTAACTGATTGAGATTTGTTTTATGCTGAACGTATGGTCTATCTTGAAGAATGTTCTATGTGCACTTGAGAAGAATGTATATTCTGCTCTAGTTAGATTGAGTGTTTTCTTGATGTTTTATAGTTCTGGTTGATTTTTAGCATTAAGTCTCCTGTCCTTGTTGGATCTTCTGCCTAATGTTCTATCTGGTATTGAAAGTGGGTATTGAAGTTTCCGTCGATTACTATTGAATTGTTTATTTCTCCCTTTATTTCTCAGTTTTGCTTCATATATTTTGGGGCTTCATGTGCTGTTGGGCATGTATAAGTTTATTATTTTACCTTATTGATGGATTGATTAATTTATTATTATAAAATGTCCTTCTTTGTCACCTAACACCCATTAGGATGGAAACAGTAAAAAACAAAATAACAAGTGTTGGTGAGGTTGTAGAGAAATTGGAACCCTTGTGCACTATTAATGTGAATATAAAATGGTGCCACTATGAAAAACAGTATGAAGGTTCCTCAAAAAATCAAAAACAGAACTGCCATATGATTGGGGCATCTGGATGGTGCAGTCGGTTAAGCATCTGATTCTTGATTTCAGCTCAGGTCATGCTCTCAGGGTCATGAGATTGAGCCCCAGGTTGGGCTCTGGGTTTGGTGCAGAGTCTGCTTGAGATTCTTTCTCTCCTTCTCCCTCTGTTCCTGCCCCTGCTCATGCGTGCACTCGCTCGCTCACTCTCAAAATAAATAAAATCTTAAAAAAAAAAAACAAAACTGCCATATGATCCAACAATTCCACTTCTGGGAAGATCTCCAGAAGAATTGAAAGCAGAGTATTGAAGAGGTATTTGCATTCCTGTGTTCATAGCAGCACTACTCACAATAGCAAAGAGATGGGGGCAACCCAGATGTTCATTGACAGATGAATGCATAAACAAAATGTGGTATATGCAAACAATGGAATATTATTCAGCCTTAAAAAGGAAGGAAATCCTGTCATGCTACTACATGGATAAACTGGGAGGACATGCTAAGTGAAATGAACCAGTCACAAAAAGGAAAATACTGTGATTTCACTTACGAGGTATCTATAGCAGTCAAATTCATAGAAACAGAAAGTAGAATGGTAGTAGCCGGGGCTGGGGGGAAAAGGTGAAAAGGGGAGTTGTTGTTTAATGGGTATAGAGTTTGGGTTTTGCATGATGGAAAAATTCTGGAGCTGTTTTACGACAATGTGAATGTAACTTAACACTACTGAACTGTACACTTAAAAATGGTAACTTTTATGCCATCTGTTAGCATGATGGGAAAAAAAATGTCCTTCTTGGTCTCTAAGAACAATTGTCTTAAAGTATACTTTGGTGATGGTATCGTCACACCAGCTGTTTTGGTTACTGTTTGCGCGGCATGTCTTTTTCCATCCTTTTGTCCCCAGTCTATTTGTGACGTGGTAAAGTGTACCTGCGGTAGATAGCCTGTAGTTGAAGCATGTGTTTTTATTCCATTCTGCCAATCTCTGCCTTTTGTTTGGACTGTTTAAGCCACTTACAGTTAATGAATTATTGATAAGATGAGTTTATGACTGTCTTTTGCTCTTTTATATACATTTTATATCTTTTTTCTCTATTCCTCCTTTACTGTCTTCTTTTGTGTTAAATATTTTCTAGTGTACCATTTTGTTAAAGGGGGGGGGAGGCAGAAGGAGAGAGGGAGAGAGAATCTTAAGCAGAGTCCACACCCAGCACGGAGCCCCACCCGACATGGGCTTGATCTCACAACACTGAGATCATGACCTGAGCTGAAATCAAGAGGCAAGAGTTATCCAAGTGAGCCACCCAGGTGCTCCTAGTGTACCATTTTTATTCCTGGTCATTGCTTTTACTTTATTTTTTTGAGTTATTTTCCTTTAAAAAAAAAAAAAGATTTATTTGACAGAGAGCGAGATTACAAGCAGGGGGAGCAGCAGAGGGAGAGGGTGAAGCAGGCTCCATGCATGGAGCAGGGAGCCCGATACGGGGCTCCATCCCAGGACCCTGAGATCATGACCTGAGCTGAAGGCAAACGCTTAACCAGCTGAGCCACCCAGGCACCCTTGAGTTATTTTCCTAATGGTTGTTCTGAGGGTCACAATTAATATCTTAATTTAAAACAATCTAATTTGGATTAATAATACCATCTTAATTTCAATATTTTCTAAATACTTGGCTACTGGGTAGCTCCATTTCCTCCCCCTTCCTTTATGTTGTTACAAATTATGTATCTATACATTGTATGTCCATAAACACTTCTAAAATTGACTTAATGCAGGAAATTAAAAAGCCATTACAGCAAAGAAAATGTATTATAACAAAGAAATAAAAAATTATTACTCAGTTAATTTGTTTAAGTCAGATAAGTGAAAAAAGTTACAAATATAAATATATACTGTCTTTCATATTTACCTATGTAGTTGCATTTACCTGTGGTTTTTATTAACTCATTTGGTTCAAGTAACTCTCTACTGTCCTTTCATGCAGCCTAGAAGATTCCTTGTACTATTTTTTATAAAGCAGATCTGTTAGCAAACAATTTTCTGAACTATCAGTAATAAAGACAACTTTTGACCAAACATGTTAGACAAAAGATTGAACTTTCTATTCTATCAGAAAGGATATTATTAAGTTGGACCTTATGAAACTGACACAGAAACATGGGTTCACAGCTTATACATTTGAATATTACATTTGTAGAAACTCCAAAAACAACATCATGCTCAGTCACTAACAAAAAAAGTTTACTTAGTTTGGATTAACACCATCTTAATTTCAATATTTAATAAATACTGTCGATATTTTAGCTGTAAAACCGGTTAGATGAGTGTTCCTGGGAGCAGTAGACTGAAGACGTATTAGAAGGACTGTTTATCAACAACAGTAGTTTATCAGAAACTGTGGGGAAGCTCAGACTGAAGCAGTAAGACATTCAGGGATTATAGAAAGCTCTAACGCCATTGTAAACATCTCTAAGTGCTTTTCCGTAGTAGTTACTCAGTAGTATATACCAATTCATTACCTCTTCCATACTGTAATGATTGTAATCTGCAAATTCAACATATTGTTACACAATTAGTAGGTTGGTACCAAGATGATGTATTTTTTGGCTTTTCTTTTTTATCCTTATTTTGAAGGATCTTCAGATTCACAAACTCACTCTGACAATCTGTTACCCAGATCCCTTACAGCATTCTATTTGTGAGAGCAACTATCAAGGCCAAACCATCCAGATTTTCTGATTTAGTTTAATTTGTCAAGTGCCAAACTGTAGAGGTGTTTTTTGGGGTGTGTGCGTGTGTGTGTTTGGGGGGGGGTTTACTGCAAGTTGTCATACCCAGTACTTTGAGTGGACAAGGGTATGATTTCTTTTCCAACAGCTATCAGAAACATTTGAGATAGTGACTTCAAATACCCCTAAAAGGACTATGCCCCTCTGTAGAACATGATGTTTGAATATGATTTTTGATGTGATGATTAGACAGTAAATGTTCATAAAATCAGCAAAACTGACTTCAGTTGATCATTAAACATATTTGTAGAGAATCTGGGACCTTAATGATAATATTTATGTGTAATTTGCAAGTTTGCACATTTTATTTCCCCAGTTGTTACAAATGACCTTTTTACTGCTTTGCTATTAATCTGTAAAAGGGAAAGAGTATTTTTATATACCCCTTAATCATCTAACCAAGGATTTCACCTTAAGCTTTGCCTCATCTCAATCATGCCAAACCAAGAATCTGAGGAATCCATATACTACATAATCTATTTCTTAGTAATGTATGGATTTAGCAAACCTTGTTAAACCATGTAAGCAAGTGCTCGAGACTTACTCTTTTGAGTTATGCTGAAAGATGTTTATGAGCACCACCTTCTCTCCAAGAAAATATTTGGCTAGGTTTTCATTTTTTTCCTATTCTGAGGATTCCAGAAATATCCAGAGATAGCTCACACTTACTTTCTGGCCAGTGTCATGTAGTTCGGTCTCCCTGTGGAGTCTCTTCCCTTTTACTTCAGAATATGTTGCCTTTCTCCTACCTTCGGTTGTCTTCATTTGACTCCAGCCTCACAAAACTGCTGTTGAATATTTTTACTTTTAAAATGAATGTAGACCGTCATATTTTCCCCCTAATTCCTCATGTGCCCCCTGCCTTCGCTGCAGCCTGATTCTTGGAAGAATGCTGTGTGCTCCCTGGAGAGCCCTTCCATCTCTTTTCTGAGTATCTGATTTTGAAGTTTGGTTCATAAAATAATATTTATATTAAATGTGGTTTTGCTGGGGGCGCCTGGGTGGCTCAGTCTGTTAAGCGGCTGCCTTCGGCTCAGGTCAGGATCCCAGGGTCCTGGGATCGAGCCCCGCATCGGGCTCCCTGCTCAGCGGGAAGCCTGCTTCTCCCTCTCCCACTCCTCCTGCTTGTGTTCCCTCTCTCGCTGTGTCTCTGTCAAATAAATAAATAAAATCTTTAAAAAAAAAAGGAAAAAAAAGTGGTTTTGCAAACTACACATTTACTGCTTTAAGGTAACTATCCAGGACCGATTCAGTGATCTGTTCCCAAACTCTCCCCGGCCATTTTTTTACTTTTAGAAATTTTGTGCTGCATTTAATGTTACTTAGTACTGTTTCATTTTCTTGAAACCTTTCATGCTCTGTGTCATTTTCCTCCTAATTTTTATATTAAATTTCTGTTTTTATATGTCTTCATGCTGACTCCTCTAATGTGAATGTATTCTTAATTTGGCCTCTATTCTTAATTTTTCGTTCACTCTCACCCACCAAATTGAGCTTTCTGTTCTCTGTTTCTGTGTAGCTTACTCTCAGATCATTATGTCTTCACTCTTATTAACTGTCTTGAATCTTAAATCCTAGTGTTGTAAGCCATTTTTATTTTGTGACATCTAGCTAACATAGTATTTTGAAAGCTAAATTCTTGTTAGGATATTTATGTGATTATGTGAATTAAAAATCCCTGCTTTCCTTATGTATTTGATTTGCATGGGTACTTCCAACCCTGTCTCTGAACAGAACCTTTACAATGCTACCTTAGCTTTACCCTTACCTTCTGAATATGTGAAGGGGCTGAAGAGCTGACAGAACCCAAGTGTCAGCACCCCTTGGGCCAGGGGCCGTGGTCAGGGCACTGGACTCACTGGGCACTTTGTTCCTGTTCTGGCTTGTCTCCTGTGTCGGTCTCTTGTTTCCAGCCTTGGTCCTGGGCCTTTGCACCTGCTGGACTCTGACCAGTGTCGCACCCCCTACCTATGATTCCCCTATCAGACTTGCTTCCTTTCAAAATGCGATGTTCATGGGCGCCTGGGTGGCTCAGTTGGTTAAGCGACTGCCATCGGCTCAGGTCATGATCCTGGAGTCCCGGGATCAAGTCCCGCATCGGGCTCCCTGCTTGGCAGGGAGTCTGCTTCTCCCTCTGACCCTACCCCCGCCTCATGTGCTCTCTCTCTCATTCTCTCTCTCTCAAATAAATAAAGTCTTCAAAATGCGATGTTCCAGAGTTCACTTTGGAGCCTTTACTCCTCACCTTTAGGACTTACATTTTCATTTTTTAGATGTCCCTCAAGAAGTTCTCAAAAAGAAAGTAATCTGATGAAGTGCATTCGAAAGATACTATGTTTTGTGCTGGAGATAGAATAGTAAAGTCCCAACCTGAAAGGAGCATACAGGAAATAAAATGAAATAGTCAGAAATCACACAGCATGAGGGGCGCCCGGCTGGTTCGGTCGGTGGAGTGTGCGGCTCTTGATCTTAGGGTTGTAAGTTTGAGCCCCACGTTGGGTGTAGAGATTAATTAAAAATAAAAAAATCTTTAAAAAATTATATAGCATGAAGGCGCCTGGGTGGCTCAGTCGTTAAGCGTCTGCCTTCGGCTCAGGCCATTATCCCAGGGTCGTGGGATTGAGCCCCGTATCGGGCTCCCTGCTTGGTGAGCCTGTTTCTCCCTCTCCTTCTGCTGCTCCCCCTGCTTGTGCTCTCTCTCTGTCAAATAAATAAATAAAATCTTTAAAAAATATATAGCATGATAACTGTGATGATGGAACGTGATAAAGTTTGCTTTTTACCTCAGAGTGTTGTTATTAGGATCAAATGAGAGATCATCAAGTTGTCTCTTTTCGTTTGTAAAGTATGATAGAAAACTTAGTTGCTATTGATAGGCCTCTTTCTGGGGAAAGAAGGGAAGGTCTGGTGCAGTCTGGTGATTGGTTTCCCCACTGTGTTTCTGTGTGGTTCACTGTGTCCTGCAAACTGTTTTCAGATTAGTCTTGCTAAACTGTGTTTTCAGCTTTCCTTCACTACCATCAATATCTGTTCTATGTTAATGTTTCATCTAATGCATGTAGTTTTTTCTCCTTCTCTAATATAGGGAAGTAAAAGACTTACTTGTAGGTAAAGGGCGGATTTCAGCTTAGCTCCTTAATCATGTAGGAGAGAATAAACTGCATCGGGCTTGAATAGTTTTTTAGTTACTATGTTAACTTTCAGCAAGAGCATCAGTGAACAATTGTTATTGTGAAAATAGTTTTACTTCTTGAGTCTGGAATCTTTTGGGGGAGGGGTGTGGGGTGATCGTTTTTATTTAAATTTTGAATTGCACGTAAGATTATGGTAGAAACTCTTTGAAGTTTTACAGTACCTTAAATATGGTATAGTGGTAACATGCTAGATTTTTTACACATTCTTTGTGAACGTTCCAGTTTACAGTGGTTTGTTAGTAATAACAGGAAATAAAGTAACTGGATTCTCAGACTATGTAATGTGCTTGGGGCCTAAGAATCTGCATTTTTAACAGTGTTTCCAATTATGTGGTTCAGCCATAAATTAAATGGAAACAAACTAGCAAGAATTGGACGGCCACTGTCCAGAGTGGATTTTGAAGAGCTCTGGAGGCAGAACAGTTTACCCAGGTGTTTAATTTGCGCTGTCCTCACTGGAAGAGAGTTATTGGAACCTATATAGAAAAAGATTTGGAGTCTTTGAAGTTCAGAGTGGTTTACTTCCACTTATAATGCTAGCAAAATAATTTACAGTGCAGATGTCATTCCAGCTGGGCACAATTTCAAGAAATTTTTATAGCAAAGAATAAGTGATAGCATATTGGAAATGTGGAGGGGTGTTTTCAGTTGAGGGATGCTCTTGGCATTTAGGCCTGAGAGCTGTGGACTCTTGAGGCTCTGTACGTACCAAACTGCACAACCAAGCATTGTTCTGCCCGTAATGCCAGTAACACGAGAAACTCTAATTAGGGCTTGTTTCAACCGCATGTCACCGAAGTCCAGCCTAGGGGCTTTCCTGATAGAGGCTTATTTTCCTCACCTCACAAGTGTAGAGAGGCAGGCCCCGCATAGCTGTGTGGGTTTCCGTAGTGTCATCAAAGTCTTGGGCACCTCTTGTCTGCCTGCTCCACATTCTTAGGGCCCACCCTACTTAGGGTGTCCCTTATATTATACTCACTCCAGAGTGGGGCGTGGCAGAGCAGAAGTGGCCCCTGTACCAGGAAAGCAAAACTTAGCAACCCCCAGCAGCAATCCACTCGTGTCTCGTTGGCTACAACCGTGATACCTGCTGACCCCTCTCTGCAAGGGATACGGAGGAAAATAGTTTTTCAACTGGGTGCACTGCCTTCCCCCACCCCCCAAATTGAGGTTTTATACTTAAGGAAAAGGAGAGGATGTTTAGTGGGTAATCAGGTACGAGAAATGCTCTGTACCATAGTAGTAATCAATAGATTTTTGAAAGATGAGACGTCTGGCACTTTATTCTTAGCTTATCGCCAGTTTCAGTGTGAGTGCATGTGGACCCCTCCCCAGGAGACTTCCTGGGGTGCCTTTCAACCTTGCCATCGTTTTCCACATTTTCTTGATGCTAATTAATAGCCAGCTCCTTCCTCAGAGGTGAAATTTCATGATTTAATTTCCTTATTTATTTGTATTTGCTTGTGTGGATCCGTTTTGGCAAATGGATTTAGATTTTTCTTTGACGTTCCGGTAAATGTGTTTTTACACATTGTTGCAGACTCGTTCTGTAGCCTGCCGTTACTGCGCTGCTCCACTTTGACTGACAGTTTTACATTTTACACAGGTGATATTCTTGAATTTCATGGTCCAGAGGGAACAGGAAAAACAGAAATGCTTTATCATTTAACAGCACGATGTATACTCCCAAAATCGGAAGGGGGACTGGAAGTAGAAGTCTTATTTATTGACACAGATTATCACTTTGATATGCTTCGGCTGGTTACAATTCTCGAACATAGACTGTCCCAGAGTTCTGAAGAAATGGTAAAATGCTGCCTCGGAAGGTTGCTTCTGGTGAACTGCAGTAGTAACACCCAGCTGCTCCTCACGCTGTACTCACTAGAAACCGTGGTTTGTAGCCACCCTTCCCTCTGCCTTTTGATCTTGGATAGCCTGTCTGCTTTTTACTGGATAGACCGCGTCAATGGAGGAGAAAGTGTTAACCTACAGGAGTATACCCTGAAGAAATGTGCTCAGTTCTTAGAGAAGCTCGTAAATGAGTATCGCTTGGTTCTTTTTGCAACAACACAAAGTATAATGCAGAAAACCACAAACTGGACAGAAGGGCCTTCTTCTGCCTTGAACCATCCGAGTGAGGCAGATGCGGACTACAGACCCTATCTCTGTAAGGCATGGCAACAAGTAGTAAGGCATAGAATATTTTTCTCCAAACAAGAGGATTTTAAAACCAGCAACCAGTTTTCTTTGGTTTCACGTCATTTAAAAAGTAACAGTTTAAAAAAGCATATTTTTATTATTGGAGAAAGTGGCATTGAGTTTTGTTGATATGTATCATAAAATAGTGTTTTTCAGGATATTATGCAAAATTTAAAAAGTCCTTAATGGGCTAAAATGATTCGATTATAAAGCTTTAAACTCTGGGAGAATTAATATAAATGTTTCTACACAGAATGGAATTTTTTTTTTTTTTCCAGAATGGATTTCTTAAACTAGTACAGTAGAACTTTATTCTCTTCTTCGGTTGTTGAAGATAAATCAAACTGGTGGTAATAAACTGTATATTAAGCTTGTTTTAAAACTAAATAATCTACACATGGCAGCCTAAATAAAATGAACTTTTTTATAACTTTGTGTCACATTTCTGGAATTTAGTTAAGTACTTAATTGTTCAGGAAAGTTTAAATGCGTTTCCGATTTCTCATATGTAACTCCTTTAGGAAGCTGTGACTTTGGAAAATGTTCTGTAGAGCTGTTATTTCTGCAGAGGGGATGAAAACAAGGAGCCTGCCCATCTGCCTTTCACACCAAAGACTGGAAAGTCAGAGCATTCTGATCTGAGTTAGAATGAGTCCAAGATGGAGTTGCATTCTGGTTGGGTCTCTATCATTTTTTTTAACACAGGGAAGTAATATACCCATTCAAGGAATTCTGTGAAGATTGTTTGGAAATTTTCATCTCCTCATTAAGTGATAGACACATGCTAAAACTGTATTAAAACTGTATGTTACTAGTATGTTCTTAGCCATTTAGAATAGTCCAGCCATACCATGAAATGAATCAAATTATTTCCAGCTGAGAGCTGGACAAGGCTCTGTGTACTTTGGCCAAGGGGTGGCCAGAGTGGGGAGCGTGCACCTCGAGAGGTACACAAGGTAATGTATTGTGGAGAGGAAGAAAATCTCAGAACTTCTATTTATACATTTTAATCTAAGAAAAGATGAAATTGCATCAATATTTGATATTCAGTTGACTCTGATGCACTCATTGATCTGTGTGTCGGGTGGTCATCTGTCACATTCATATCTGAAGTATCCTGTGGGGAAAGTGGAAAGAATTGACTGATGTTTTCGTGGGTATGTTCATTTATATGTTACCAATTTAGTTAAAACTAACTGTAAATTAACCTACCTAACAAAGATTCTTTTTAAGGGCTTAGAAAGGATCCTGCAAAGAAATTAAGATTGACGTTAATATTCTTCATGATGCAGGGACAGCAGAGGTGGCGGATGCTGTCTGTGCCCTGCTCACGGACCCTGTGCCACCTCTAGCTTACCTGCAGTTTCCAAAACCCACTTCTGGAGGTGTCTGCTGGCTGCCAGAGCCTGCTGGGCTGCATGTGGGCCAGGCCGGGCAGTCCTTGACCAGTGAAGGGCAGGATTTGGTGTGTAAACACTCCAGCTTCCTTACCCCTCAGCTGAGAGGACACTGAGGTTCTCTCAGGAGTGGCCCCAGTAGGATTGGTTCCCATTGCTTACAGCAGCAGTCCATTTATTAACACACTGCATACTGTCTTCTGTCCTTCCGTCTCACTTCACCCTCATGGGGCCTCCTGGGATTGTCACCCTAATGAAGGACAAGTCCTAGGGTAGGAGCTACTTCTGTTGTGGATCCAGGGGGAACCAGACTGTCCGTAGACAATAAGAAGTGGTCAGACAAACAGCCCTCCTAGGCCCAGTGTTTGCTTTACGGCCATATCGTGAAATTTAAAACAATGGTGGTCCCAAGGGCAATCAAGTCAAGTTACGCAGGATCACATTTCTGTCATTCACACTCTCACACCCATATGCCCTCAACTAATTTATTTTGCCAGTAATAAACTTTAAAATACTTAAGAATATGACCTATTTTATCCCCAGCCCATCCTTTTTCGCTTTGTATTTTTGTGGTTTTTATTACATGTTACGTGTAAGTAATTTATAAATATTTGTATGTTGGAGGAATATGCTGGTTTCCCCCTGGATAAGTGTGTGATCAGTAAGATTGAGAATCTCTTGAAGTGCCTGGGTGGCTCGGTCGGTTGAGCGTCTGCCTTGGGCTCAGGTTGTTATCCTGGGGTTCTGGGATTCCCGCCCCCCCCACCGCCCAAGGCTCCCTGCTCAGTGGGAGTGTGTGTGTGCGTGCACACACGCTTAAATAAATAAAATCTTAAAAAATAAGATAAATCTCTTGGTCTGCTCTAAGTTCCATCTCTTTTTAGCTGTTTGGAAAAGATAAGAAATTCCATTATCTTCCCTGGTCTAGCTCTGGGTATATGCGTCAACACGCATGTATGAAAAACTAAGCAACTCTTAGCAGAATTCTATCCTTGTTTCCATTTCTCATCTATATAAATGAAATATTAACTTAATGGACTTGTTCACAGATTTATAACTTATTCTTAGGGAACATGATTAAAAAATAATGAACTTTTATATTAACTTAAATTTTCAATTATATATTAATGTGTCAGACCAAAGACTTAGTTATCTTAAAAAGATTTGTTATCTGACGTGTTGGAAGGAATTAAGAATCCTGGTTAATAAAAAATTCTTTTAAACTAAAACTTATACCAATGGGATTTCTTGAACACTACAGAAAATTTAATACTTATAAAAAGAATGAGACTTACAGGGAAAGAGAAATGGTACATCCTAAGTTATACAGATAACAGATACAGGGGTGCTGGTTAGAACCAGAATAATGGAGTGAGGGCTTGCAAATCTTCAGAGTGTTCCATTTACCTGTAAAAAGGGGGTGAACTTCTTGGAATCATTGTGAGAATCTAGTGAAAGAAAATTGCACATGAAAGGTATTCCAGACATTCATCTGATAAATGCAATACAAAACTAAGATAGTGCTTACCTTATTGCTTCCTTTGTATATAGTTTTCAGCCTTCAACTATCAAATGTGGTATTATTAATACCATTCCAGGAAATTTTGATGCAGACACTCTGCTTTATGGATTATCTAAGAATGAGGGTAAAAGACCGACATTTTCAGATGAACAAAAACAGAATTTTCCACCAAAATTGCCTCACTAAAGGAACTTCTAAAAGATAAACTTCAAGAAGGAGGAATATTATCACAGAAGGTCTGAGATGTAAGAAGTAATAGTGAGTAAAGGAAATAGTAAGCACTTGAGGGGTGCCTGGGTGGCTCAGGTGTTAAGCATCTGCCTTTGGCTCAGGTCATGATCTCAGGGTCCTGGGATCGAGCCCCGCATCAGGCTCCCTGCTCAGCGGGAAGCCTGCTTCTCCCTCTCCCACTCCCCCTGCTTCTGTTCCCTCTCTTGCTGTGTCTCTCTTTGTCAAATAAATAAATAAAATCTTAAAAAAAAAACAAAACTCAAAGGACATCGGAGAAAACAGTAGAAATTAATGAAATAGAAAACAAAACAGGAACAACAAAGTCAAATGAGCAAGAGCTCAGTTTTTAGGAATGAATAAGAACATAATTGAATAGAGCAGAGATTTTTTTTTTTAGCATATTAACAACTTTATATCAATAAATTTGAAAACAGACAATGGACACCTCTTATCAAAACACTCAAAAAAAAAAAAAGAAACTGAAAAATACATAATCATTGTTGAACTAATACTTTGAACTCTCCCAGTCAGAGTTACTTCCAGTACTAGCAGAACATGTAAAACAAACCAAACAAAAACAACTGGATAAAACACACATTTATATTTAAGGTATCAAAGAGCTAACCAGTTAGGAATTACCAGATGAAGGTTCAGAAGAGGAAGGACATCCCGATGTCAGTTGAAGGGTCTGAGAGCGCACTGTACTTTGTTGGTGTCACTTTGCCGGGGAGCCTTAGTAAACCACTCCCCTCACTAGGAACCCTGCTTGGTGGAGTCCTAGGATTAAGGGTGAAATTGAAGCAGATCAGCCTTGCACAGGCCACATCTTGGCCTCTCATCATCTGGGTGGTTTGAAAAATCACAAGCCTTGAAAATTTCTCAAAATCTGTTTTAAAAACGAACTAGGGCGTATAGAAGAAACAAGAATGGCACAGTGTTGGTAACTTAAGTCTGGGTGGAGGGTGGGTTAAAGTGGTCTCAGATTTTTAGTGCCCCCATATCCCAACCAAAACAAAAGTTCTCTGAGGAGGATGATAATATCATCTGAGCCTTCAAATTATTTCTAAAAGTGCATTCTCAAATGCACTATCCAAAACAGGCACACATACACAACTCCTACAGACCTAGAGTACTTAGGAAGAACAACATGGGGTGTGGGAGTGGGGGCCAGTGGAGTTAGTGTTCAGACTCTGGGTGCATGTATACCAATAATTATATTTAAATGGACTAAGTTCTCTGGTTTAACATACATTTTCAGACTGGATTTTAAAATGCATATTTGCTATTTTAAAGAGACCTCTAGACATAAGAATACAAGAAACGATATTAAGGGAATGGAAAAAAGATCCTCAAACATGAGTGAAGGGAAGACTGATCTATGTATATTAATATCCAAAGATATTAAGCTGGAAAGTATCTTTACTAGAGGTAAAGATTAGTAACAAAATTGATAAATCTTTTAGTTCACCAGGATAATATGAAGTTTACAGAAGTGTAAAGGAGTCCATTCAGAATCATGGGTAGATTTTAACACCCTAGTGTTTGATACAAGGAGCAAAAGCAGTAAGCATACTGAAGACTGAACACAGTCAACACATGTCGTACCACCCACCAAGTGCAGAACACATTATTTTCTAGCGTGATTATAACATTTTTTAGTGACCTTATACTGGGCCATAAATCTGTCAACAGAGTTCACAGGATTGAAATCACAGAGTAAGTTCTCCATTGACAATATTTAGGGGGAAATTTACAGCCTTAAATCCTTATATTAGATCAGAAGAAAGTCTAAAAAATGAGCTAAATAAGCATTTACTTGAAAATGAATAGCAAATTAAATCCCCTTCCCTGTGTAGAAGAAATGTAATAATAAAAGCAGGAATTAATAAAAGGGGAAATGTAATAAAGGATCAACAAAGGCAATGGTTATTTCTTTGAAATGGCTAATCAAATTGGTAACCCCCTGGCTAGGCACAAATAACCAATATCAGAAATGAAAAAGGGGACACCTCTGCAGATTCTACTGACCTTCAAAAAATAAGTTATTAGTAATTATTTCGTGTTCAAGATTTTTGATAAGGGGTAAAATGGGCAAACTAATAGAAAAATAACAGCTTATTAAAGCCTGCACAGGAGACATTTTAAAAGCCTGAATAGTCTTTAACTATTAAAGAAATTGGACCGGAAATAAAAGACCCCTAAGGAAACTCCAGGCTTTGATGGTTTCTCCAATGAGTTATCAAGCATTTGAAGGGAGAATGGTGTCAATTTTATGTGAACTCTTTGAGAGAATAGAAAAAAGAGGGTCAGGGTCAGATTCCAATTCATTTAATTAGGGTATCAACACTTTGATGCCAAAACTGGACAAGACATATGAGGGGGAGATTACATATATGAAGGACATATATGCAAAAATACTGAACACAATCAACAAACAATTCAATGAAATAGAAATTGGATACTACGTCATGACCAAGTTGGATTTATCCCAGAAACAGATTGGTTTAGCATTTGAAAATCAATCAGTATAATTTACCACATAAACTGGATTAAAGGGAAAAACAAGATCTCAGACCATGTAGAAAAGTATTTTATAGGATTCAGTATCTTCATGGTAATATATCAGTGTAAATTTCACAGATTAAAAGTAAAAAACAGTGTGATTATTTCAGACACAAAAAAGCTTTTAATAGGGCGCCTGGGTGGCTCAGTCGTTAAGCGTCTGCCTTAGGCTCAGGTCATGATCCCAGGGTCCTGGGATCGAGTCCCACATCGGGCTCCCTGCACCACGGGAGGCCTGCTTCTCCCTCTCCCACTCCCCCTGCTTGTGTTCCTGCTCTCGCTGTGTCTCTGTCAAGTAAATAAAATCTTAAAAAAAAAAAAAGCTTTTAATAAAATACAACATCTTTTCATGATATTCTTACCATAGAATAGAAGATAATTTCCTTGAGCAGATAAAAGGTCTCTACAAAAATCCCATAGTAAACATTATTAAATAGTGAAATAGCAGGATTCCCTTTAAAATCAACAGAACAAGAACGCCTGCGATCGCTCGTACTCAACGTTGCTCTGAAAGTGTCAGCACAGCAAGGCAAGGAGAAGGAATAAAAGGCGTAAGGAAGAGACAAAACTCATAATTGTATGATTGTGTAATGTGGAAACCTAAAATTGTCTATAAACCTATTAGAATTAATAGTTTAGCAAATTTGCTAGTTAAAAGATTAACTTTTTCTGGGCAGCTGGATGGCTCATTTGGTTGAGTATCAAACTCTTGGTTTCACTTCAGGTCATGATCTCAGGGTTGTGAGATTGGGCCCCATGTCAGGCTCAACGCTGGGCAAGGAGCCTGCTCAGGATTCTCTTTCTCCCTCTCTTCCTACCCGGCGCCCCCCCCAGCACTCTCTCTCTCTCTCTCTCTCAAAAAAAAAAAAAAAAGATTAATTTTTTTCTAAATACTAGCAGAATTAGAAGAATAGTTTAAAAATTTACAATTTCAGTCATAACTAGAAATAGGAGATCCCTAGAAATCTCAAAAATTCACAAGACCCTGAGAAAATTATAATGCTATATTTAAAGAAGCTTTAAAGAAAACCTAAATAAGTGGCGAGAGATACCAGCTTCATACATACACTCTGTATTTTCGAGCTATCAGTTCTGCAGTGGATAAACCCATCCAGTGTTATTCCTGTCAAAATCCCAACAAAGTAGTTTTCTTTGTCTTCGTTTTGGAACTTGGCAATCTGATTCTTGAATCGAATAGAGCAAGGCATCAAAAATAGTCAAGACCCTTGTATCAGTTCAGGTCTTAAGGAGACAGAGGCTAAAATGTGGTTAGAAGTATAAAATGTGAAAGAAAGGGAAGAGGAGGATTTGGCGGGGAAAGCCTTCAGGCTGAGATGCAGGTGTGACACTGGTGGGCAGAGGGGAGAAGGAAGGAGAATTGGCAGCAGGAACTTCAGCCTGGTAGCAGAGCTCTGAGAAAGTCTTGGCCTGATCAACAGGGAGCCCCAGTACAGAGATGGTAGGGGAGTCCATCGTCGGGCAGAAATGGCCAGGCCTTGGCGAGTTGCCTGGGAAGAGCATTACCTCAGCTCAAATGCTGCAGCAGATCCAGAAGGTGCTTTAGCTGGAGGCTGTCAACTCCACCAGTGAGTGGTGGCATATCCCCTCTCAAAGGGAGGTCTGAACACTGCCCTTCCAAGGCTGCTCTGTGTTCCAAACTAAGACTGAGGTAGGGAGACTTATCCTATTATATGGAAAGATGTTCTATAGCTAAAGTAATTGAAGTAATGTTATTGGTACAGAGATAAACAAGTAGACCAGAAAGAGCTCCAGAACAAACCCACCCAGGAATGGAGCTTGATACATGTCAAAAGGAGCAAATCATTGTGGAAAAGATGGACTATTCAAATTGTAGCATGAATAGATGATACATATGGAAAAAACCTGGATCCTTATATAATATTAAAAGAATCCATTTCAGTGATTAAAGACATAAATGTAAAGGCAAAAGATTAAAAACCACAGGGGAATATGAGAATATATTTGTGATATTATAGGGAAGTACTTCAAACAGACAAAAAAATAACTAATGCAAAAACATAAATTTGAGGGGCGCCTAGGTGGCTCGGTCATTAGGCATCTGCCTTCAGCTCAGGTCACGATCCCAGGGTCCTGGGATCGAGCCCCGCATCGTGCTCCCTGCTCCGCGGGAAGCCTGCTTCTCCCTCTCCCACTCCCCCTGCTTGTGTTCCCTCTTTCGCCGTCTCTCTCTGTCAAAAAATAAATAAAATCTTAAAAATAAATAAATTTGACATTAAAACTTTTTATGCATCGAAAGAAAAAGTAACAAGCTACAAACAAAGTATATTTGCAATCCATGTGAACGTGCTCGGTATCCAAAACAAATTGCATATATGCATCATATGAATATACACATATACGTTGTATATATTTTTCTATTCATTAACTTTCCTAATTTGTTTTATATGTGTATGATACTCTATGAATATATGGTATACACACAATAAGGAAAATTTAATGAAAAGAAAAATGGGCAAAACTGATTTGAGGGCATTTCACAGAAGAAATGGGAATGATCAAAAAACATAAAATGAGGTTCAGTCTCATTGTTCATTTGGAATACAAACGAAGATCTCAGTCAGATGTCATTTCTTCCGTAGTTGGAGGACAGAAACTTAAAAGGCTGACGGTAGCAAGCAGTGAAGATGTGCAACAGACTTAAGTGCTGATGGCAATGTGAGCCCGTGATGGTGCTGCACTTGGGAAACTAATTTGCCATTATTTCATCAAGCTAAACACCTACACCCTTTACTCTGGTATATGTCCTGGAGAAGTTCGTGTTTATATGCATCAGGAAAGATGTATAAATACTTAGCATTGTTTTTAACAGCAAAAGCCAGAATCCACTAAAACATCCATTCACCATAGTATGGATAAACAGATGATAGTTTATTCATACCACGAAGCACTCAGCAGTGTTAAAATTGAATGCACTACTGCAAGTACATAAACATTAGATAAATATGTTTTTTAAAGATTTATTTATTTTGGTCACCCACACACGTGAGTGCAAGAGGGGCCAAGGGAGAGAGTGTTTAAGCAAACTCCCCGCTGAACACTGAGCCTAACACAGGGCTTGATCCCAAGACCATGAGATCACAACCTGAGCCAAAACCAAGAGTCGGCCACTCAACGGACTGAGCCACTCAGGCGCCCCTGGATAAATTTTTAAGCATAATGTTAAATTTTCTTAAAATATTGCCAAAGAACATATTCAGTATAATACCTGTTTTTTTGATAGCTTTATTGAAATATAATTTGCACTTTGGTGGTTTTTAGTATATCCAGAGTTGTGCAACTGTTTAATTTTAGAAAATTTTCATCACTCCCCCCAGAAAAACCCATACCCTCTCTCCTCAGCCCCTAGCAACCACTAATCTACTTTCTGTCTCCATGCATTTCCCTATTCTGGGCCTCTCATATAAATAGAATCACACAATATGTGGTCTTTTGTGGGCTTCTTTCACAAAGCATCATGTTTTCAAGATTCAACCATGTTGCAACATGAGTCAGTACTCTGTTACTTTGTATTGCCTTATAGTATTCCGTTTTGAGAATATGCCACTTTAAAAATCCATTCATCAGTACGGACATTTGGGTTGCCTCCAGTTTGGGGCTGTTATGAATGATGCTGCTGTGAACACTCATAAGTTTTAATGTGCACATTCTTTTTAAAATAAGGTTCAAAGACAAGCAAAACTAAACAGTATATGCTAAGATTAGAAAGAAAAGGAAGCAGCAGAATGAGATTTGTCGATGTTCTATCCAGTTCATTAAGGTTCATTTTTAATAAGCCTCAGGTCATTATCGTACATTACAGTAATCATAACATACACACAAAGGCGCAGCTGGAAAGGGTGCTCTGGCCTCCACATTTTGAAAAGTTTGGTGATTGTGGGAGGGTCGCTGGCCTCTAAAATCTGCAAGTAGGTTTTGATTCTTAGGGATACCTGGGTTCTCATTTCGCACATGAATTCTTCTACTGTACTCCCACTTTCCAAACATGCCCATTCTTGAGCAGTTTTTGAGTTCTGATGGGAAAATCAGCATGTCTGTGGGTTGCCTGCTGAGGCTTCCATGTCCTCTGTTTATTGGGTCCACAGGCCTCCCCCAGTCACCAGCCTTCTAGCTTCAGGGATCGGAGATCGTGTTCCTGTTGTCTTTCCTCCTTGCTTTATCTTTCCGGGTTTTGACTGCACCCCCTTTTCTGACAGTTCAGCCAGATTTCAGGAGGAATTAAGAGGTGAATAGATAGGTTCAACGGCTGTGATTATCCAGAAATTTTAGAATTTAAACTGAGTCGAGGTTTCCTATTTGTAGCTAAGAGCATCTTGATCTGACATGTTATCAATAGTATTTTCCCATAGAAATATTCTACAGTATGAGATGTAAAGGCTACATGGCATTCCCTTTTGCAGATGTTTACTAATCATTTTGAATTGGGGGTTTCCAATGTGCCAGTTATTTATTTATTTTTAAGTAGGCTCTACACCCAGCAAGGAGCCCAACATGGTGCTTGAACTCACAACCCTGAGAGCAAGACCTGAGCTGAGTGCAAGAGTCAGATGCTCAACCAGCTGAGCCACCTAGACACCTTCCAATTATTTTTTTAAAACAGAACATGGAAATACATTTGCTGCAATGTTTTCATGTTATCAAATGTCTCAAGAAGGTTTATACCAGTTTATACTCCTGCCTTCGGTGGAGGAGGATCTTGGCATCTCACACCGTAACAACAGGTATACGTATTTACATTTTATATGTTATTTTCTAATTATATTCATCTGAACAAGAAATCAGTCATAATCCCATCATCCAATGATCTCTGTTATTAATATTCTGGACTATTCTGGACCGGTCTTTATGATGTATTCACATTGTTTTTGAGATAGTGTTTTGGCTTTTGTTTTTGCTTTGTTCGTTTTGTTTTTTTTTTTTCTTTTCTTTGCTGTACATACATACTTGTTAACAGCATGCTGTGGACACCTTTCCACATTGGTACATACTGATCTAATCATTTCCAAAGCTCTGTGTATCATTGTTTGCTTAACCCACTCCTAGTGATGGACATCTAGATTGTTTATATATTTTTCTAAATCCTTATACATACAGCTTTGTAGGGGTCCAATTCTTTCCTTTAGGTAAATAAAGAGATATTGCTAGGTTAAAGGATGTTTACTTTTTTGAGTTCTCAGTATATTAATATGTCCTGCTGAAGGTTGTGGGAAACAGTAGAGCTGATCATAAAGGTGAGGCTTTGGCAGTATCATTTGATCTCCTGCATTATTCGGTTCCTGGACTTCTAACTTGTGCGAGCTAATGAATTTACATTTTGCCTAGTACGGCAAGATTATTAATCTGTAATTTCAAACTCTTGCTAAGCTAAAGAGGAAGGCACTTGACCTACCTATGTTAGTATTTAAGTAACACAAAGTTCAGATTTCAGCTGTGATGGGGATAGCAAAATGCTGTGCTTCCTGTGAGTGCTAACAAATCACTCAAAATTTAGGAAGTTTGCACGTATTTTATATAGATACGTCTAAATTGAGAATATGGGTTAATATTTAGAGTAGCCGTAGCCTGATATATTACATTGCATCTGAAGTCTTGAATTGACATGAATTAACCTATACATCTTTAAATATTTGCAAAATTATATTTGATATGAGCCTGTAATAAATGACCATATTACAATTCAGAAGCTGGAAAGTGTAGTGAGAGTTGCCATGGGAACCTTAATGTGATAGTCCCTTGCTTCCATTTAAATTTCATTTTTAATATTACATTAACATTTTTGCATTTAATGGATAGATATTTGAATTAATATTGAAGTGCTTGCTAATATAAATAAAATATAAGAAATGAAAATGTGATTTTTCTTCCAATGAACAAATGAACGTATAACCCAAGATCTTGTAGAAATAACAGCACTTGAGTTTTAAATTATTGGATTCCATTAATTTATTTTGAAGTTTCTTAAAGGATCTCTTTTAAAAGATTAAGAAATATTTATGGATAGTCACATAATTCATGTCTTTACATCTCAAATACAGCCCAGAATTTCCTGAAGTCTGTTTGGGGAGTTTTCTTCACTGTGACTTAGTTTATTCTTTTGTTTTTTTCTGACCAGTTGACCTCTGAGGTCTCTCCGACCTCTAAGTCCATCTTAGTGTACTAATTATTTATAGGGTGATAGGCTTCATCTCACTTAAAATTCTAACTACATTACCAAATACAGATTTGTCTGTTCAAGTTCATTGTATGAAAATCTAACTGATGCCAGAGATACAGGTATTCTTTTATTACAGAGGATTCTTGACTATACAAGAATATTCATACATAGGATTACATGTGAATAGTGCGTTTGAAATAGAAGTAACTGGGGGCGCCTGGGTGGCTCAGTCGTTAAGCTTCTGCCTTCGGCTCAGATCATGATCCCGGGGTCCTGGGATCGAGCCCCGCATCGGGCTCCCTGCTCTGCGGGAGCCTGATTCTCCCTCTGCCTCTCCCTCTCCCTCTGCCTCTGCTGCTCCCCCTGCTTGTGCTCTGTCTCTCTCTCTCTCTCAAATAAATAAATAAAATCTTCAAACTAGGTTAATTTTCATTTCTTCCTGTGGAGAAGTGAGGGCATCTTATTTTCATATGAGATCTGGCTGTCATAAGAGGATACGAGTAGATCCACATGTTGCAAGGGGTTGGCTGTGCCATGCTGTTTCGTGTCGTCCACGATACCGCGATCCACATGGCCATGCCTACTTCACCCCCTACACACACACCCCCCCCCTTGGCCACTTACCTTCTGGACAGGAGCATCACTAGCGCTGCCTCACGTTGCTTCTGCGCTGGTAGGCCCAGCTCATAGCTGTTGCTACCAGAGCCGTACAAATGGGGGAGCCCCCAGCACCGACCTACCGCGAAAGCCCATCTACTGTGCCTGCCTCCTGGCCTCCCCACTAACTGCCTAAAGAGGCCAGGTAATACAGCCTGGAAATTTAGGGGCCGAATGCCCTCTGGGGCTGACTCTGACTGATGACAGTTCGGGAAGGGAAGGGGACTAGCATGTAACTTATTTTCCCCTTCTCCCCCAAAATGGACTGCTCCTCGGTGCAGTGCTTGCTGTGAATGCACCGAAGACGTCCTGTGAGACCAGGCTTGTGGTGCACCTGTGTGTATGCTCTTCTGACTTCCCGTTCCCCTCTCTAATGAAGTCTTAGCCTGCTAGCTTTATAAACCTCGTAGACATGGGCTAAGATGGTGCCAGCACACAGATTTTTCTCTGTCATCTGTGGTTAATTCTTTAGACCTAAATTCGTAAAAGTGTTATTGCTATTTAAAATAAGACCATTTTGGGGCGCCTGGGTGGCTCAGTCATTAAGCATCTGCCTTCGGTTCAGGTCATGATCCCAGGGTCCTGGGATCGAGCCCCGCATCGGGCTCCCTGCTCCACGGGAAGCCTGCTTCTCCCTCTCCCACTTCCCCTGCTTGTGTTTCCTCTCTCGCCGTGTCTCTCTCTCTCAAATAAATAAATAAAATATTTTTTTAAAAAATGAAATTAAAAAAATAAAATAAGACTATTTTGGGGGCACCTGGGTGGCTCAGTCAGCTAAGTGTCTGCCTTCGGCTCAGGTCATGATCCTGGAGTCCCGGGATCGAGCCCTGCGTCGGGCTCCCTGCTCAGCGGGGAGTCTGCTTCTCTCTCTGCCCCTCACCCCACTCTCACGCCCTCTCTCTCTCTCTCTCAAATAAATAAATAAATAAAATCTTTTTAAAACATAAAAATAAGACCATTTTTTTCACTTTGTAAATAATTGATACTCTGATTTTAAAGTAATGTTTATTGCAGACATAAAGAAAATTAAAAGCTATATTAACTTTATTGGTATACTGTACATCTTTCAGATTTTCTTAAGCGTTATAATAGTTAAAAACAATGACTTTTACTAGTTGATTCCAGAGATTGTCATAAGGAAAAAAGGATGCATTGGCTTAGAATTAGATCACTATTAAATGTGGGAGATGAGACCTAAAGGCATAATCTGAAAAGACACAGGAAAACCAAGATCCTTTTTTTCTTCTGTTTTTTAAAAACAATAGTGGGACCATACAGACTGACAAGAGTTTTATAACATGATTTTCTCACACTTAATATTTTGTAACTTTTCTCACATCATTAACTTTTATATGATTATAGTTTTTAATGGCACATGATACTTCATGGATCCATAATTTGACCAATTTTCAATTGTTGGATGTTTCTTTCTTTGCTTTGTCCTTTTAAAGATTATTTCAGTGTTTCGAAGATATTCATGTAGATGCAATCTTTGTATTGCTGTCTACTTTTGTGATGGGGTCTTCAGAGTGGAAATTCATTTCTAAAGGAAGTGTTCCAGTTTAACTAGTAACAGTATATGAGAGCACTTGTTTCTTTTTTTTATTTATTTTTTAAAGATTTTATTTATTTATCTATTTATTTATTTATTTGAGAGAGAGCACAAGCAGGGAGAGGGGCACAGGGAGAGGGAGAAACAGACTCCCACTGAGTAAGGAGCCTGATGTGGGACTTGATCCCAGGACCCTGGTATCAGGATCTGAGCCGAAGGCAGACGCTTAACCAACTGAGCCACCCAGGCGCCCCGAGAGCACTTGTTTCTTTATGCACTTGCTGACCCAGAGTATTATCTTCTCTCTAATCTTTGCTATGCTGCTCTGTGCAAAATGGCATCTCATTTTACTTTGCATTTCTTTGATTATTTACAGGATCAAATACAGTTTCAGACATTCATCGGCCATTTCTGTTTCTTTTGTGAATTGTCCATAACGTGGTTCTGTTTTTCTTAATATTTTTATTTCAATTTGTCACTTGCCTCTGTTGTATCACATATGTTTTTCTACGTAATTGGAGTAATTTTAAGAAAAAATATTAGAGCAACCTTTAATCTATTCATAGTCATTCCTTTCAGGGGATTTTCCAGTCAAATGAATGCTGAATCCCTCAAGGCCCAACTCAGATGTTGCTTTCTCCAGGAAGCCCTCCCTGACTTGCTGTGACTCAGGTCTGCATCACTCGTCCTTTCCTGGGAGCTCCCATGTGTTTGCAGAGATACCTTCCCTATTATAAGCTTTTTGAAAGCTGGAACAATATCTTATTCCTATTAATTCACCTCGGCCAAATAACATATCCTGCACTTAGTATGTATTCAATCAAGAGGTTGAATTGATTTGTTCTCTTTAAATAACAGCACTTTTACATTTAGAAATATTTTTCATGGAAGTATGTTTGAATTGTATACTTGCATACTTTCTTGAAGAGAGTTTATTGAACAGTTTAAGATTTTTCATAATCGACATTTACAGAAATATGATTTATTGGACTTTGCTGTGAGACTAATGCCTTCAGAGGTTTCTAGTGCGAAATGCTACAACCAAGTGGCCCTGTACTCTGTGGGTTATGTATTCCTCTCCGGTGGTGTCTCCCCACTGGTGTATGACTGTGCCCAGCATTTTCCAGATGAGCAAGAGTGTGTTAGAATTTAATATTGGACTTAACTACCCTTTAAACTTATATCTGGGTGCCTCTCGCCTGGGCTCCCGATCGTGGAGGCTGCCATGTAGACGACCTCTGTGCTCATTAGTGTTCACTGGAACATTTTTTGTGCCCTCCTTCCCTGAGCTGTGTTATTACTTAACTCTTGTTTCTTCAGACTGTGCAGAATGAGTACCTGCTCCTACCAGTGTTCTTTCATAATTGGTCCAATGTCACCTTGTTATAAAGATCTGCATACTATTCCGTTATGATGGTGGACCTTTGCCGTTACCTTTTGAGAGTCTCTTCTGAGTGTCAGAAGAATTACTCAGAATTTGCAGTAGATGCAAGAGGTTGCCTGGTGCTCTTCCAGTGCCCTGCCGGGCTTCCTCCTTTGACTGGCTGTTGACTGGGTTACCGGACAACTCTGTAGGAGCAGAGGTTAACTTGTAGATTCTTGTCTGCTTAAAGATGCAAATAATTTCTGTCCAGTGGGAAAGATAACTCCAGAGGTTGTGGCTTATGGCCCTGTGGGACATTCGCTAGTTTTAAATATAACCTCGTCATCTTATCCTAACATTCCTGTATTGTTATCAATACCTAGCCCCTCAAATTCTCATTTGAACCCAGTCTTGCCATTTCCCTCATGATCTAATGAGTTGAATAAAACTTTTGGGCTCATGTTTGTTTTATATTGATATGAGATCATGTTTTTAACCTTTTGAAAATTATTTTTGGCATAGTGTTAGAGGCCCCTGCTTTTTACTTTGGCCTCCAAGTAGGTTAGGTTGACTGGTAAACAAAAATGTATATTACTAATAGTAAAAATACTCCAACTGGTACTCAAATCCCAGCCTTCCTTACTTCTTCTTTCACTGTTACTTTCTCTGCTTGTAAGCTAAAAAGATGAGCTAGAGAGAATTGTTCTTTTAGTTAATCCATCTGCCAACAACATTTTTAAAGCCCTGTTTTTGAAGAGTGTGGCTCTGGAGGGCACAGCAAACAGACAGTAAAGAGGGGATGTTGCTGCATGGTTTCATGTTACTGTTTTCAGCTGGAATTTTGCTAGGCCAAAGCAGGAAGGAAAAATTCACAAGGATAATGAAATGAAGCTAATACATTAACATTTTGCCAGATAAACAGACAAAGCCCCATGCAGCTTAGCCAAGTAATCATCCAGAAATGATCGTTTTCTTTATTGGACGGTTAGTAAAGCTAACCTAGTAGACTAACAAGATTTGGACCTTAGAATCAGATCTCTGATACGAGAGTCCCAAGAAAATGTTTCTTTTGGGAAAAGCAGCATGAGAACTATGGGTGAGGGAGACTCTTTTACTCAAGACAGTAATGGATTCTGTCATTTTGTTAAACTCATTTTGAGTTTCAACACCCAGCTCAAATTTTACCTGCCCTGCAGCTCATCTGATCCTTTACGGCCAAAGTTAACTTCTGCAGGCTTGTGTGTGCCCCTTGTTTGAGATCTCTATACAATCTTGACCATCACTTCTGCGTGCATCTCTGTTTCTATGGGTCTGGACTGTAATTCCTGGAGGAGAAGTTTTGTATTCTATACTTTTATATCTCAGTGTTTGTTACGTAGTAACTGTTCCATAATCAGTAGCGGTTGGTTGGTTTATAGGAGAGCAGATTACTCTTGGCCAGTAGAGAGACAAGGTACTACAGCCTGACTTTTTTTTTTAAGATTTTATTTATTTATTTGAGACAGAGACAGAGACAGAGAGAGAGAGAGAGCACAAGCAGGGGGAGGAGCAGAGAGAGAGGGAGAAGCAGGCTTCCCGCTGAGCAAGGAGCCTGATGCGGGCCTCGATGCCAGGGTGCTGGGATCATGACCTGAGCTGAAGGCGGACTCTTAACCAACTGAGCCACCCAGGTGCCTCAGCCTGACTTGATAGAATTTACTTCTGGATGATCTGCAGCTTCTGTACAGCATTTTTTCAGCTATCTATACCCATAATTGTTTTCCTCATACAACAGTATGCTTAAAATTTTGAAGTTGTATTTATGTAGCAGAAAGCTTCT